TCGGAAGACTAGGGTTCGATCCTGGTACAACCAACATTCTAAATTATAGAAATTTAACACCTCAAATTGCAATATCAAGCTGTCCAAGTGTATTTCTATCATGAAATAAAGGTTATTCTTAAAAAATGATCAGCCGTTCGGATACGGCTAAGTATAAAATTGAGTTCTCTCCATTTGTTGGAAAACCATTAAATCACACACCGTTAATTGGGGAAGGAGTTTAGTCGAAAATTGATCAAGCGTTTAAAAACCACCAATTACATGAAAAGATTCCGAATTCGAGCTCAGCTCACCAAAAACTTTTAGTATAAGGTATAAGCTACTCCCAGGATGTGACTGATAGAGGCTTGTTTAATAATTTTAAATCATACACACATACATAAATGTATAATTTTTATATAAAATAATTTTTCATTCGATTTGCCCAGAAGTATTTTTTTGCTTATTTTATTTTGCCCGCTATTCAACAAAAGTAAGTAAGTAAAACCCCAAATTGTTCCATTGTTCATTATGAAAAAACCCAAAGATGGCGCTTTTGCGTTAAGTGGTTTGTGTCTTCGCTGATCTAATTAAAATTTCCCCTGGGATCGTTGTGTCCGTGTACAAACATACAAACATACATATGGATTTAAATTATTGAATTTCTTACATTAAAAATAAAGCCGAAATATCAATAAAAATTGTTTTTCTAAATACCAGAAATTTTAAAAAAATAAATTGTAATTACTCATTCTATGAGTGACAAAAAATAATGACTTTCTGCGAATATTCTGAACTGAAGACATTAAAATTTAATGAAACTGAAGCTGTCAAATCGTAAAAGATCTTGAAGGTGAGCCAATAAAAAAGTTGGCCAATATGTATATATATATATAAAGATTCATACGTATAATATATAAAACCGTTTGTATGTTTATTTCCAATGATCTAAAAAACTACCTACCTGGCAGATCATACTGAAAATTTGACACTTCGTATTGAATATTTGGAAAGCTTAGTACGAAAAAAATATTCGGAAAGTAAACCACAAACGAAAAAATAGTATTTAGAGTTCGAATTACATAAAATCCGGTACGTTGGTGGCTTTTCGCTTGGATTAATACGAAGGCTACTTTTCTCATTTAGGATTGGACAACAGTCAAAATTATAGAAAATACATTTTTCAAATTACGGTCGTTCTCTCTGCGACTATGCGAGTGTATTTCTGAAATGAAATAAAAGCTCTACAAACAAGTTCATCGGCCGTTCGTTAGTACTAAATCAACCAAAATCGCTTCAGCGGTTACAAAGCGCTAGTTATATATATATATATATGTATGTACGAGTATATATACTCCTCTCACTGGGACGTAGACCAGAGACTCGCCTAACGAAAAAATTATACTCGTGGTGCGATTTGCTTGAAATTCGGTTCATGGGTAGTTTTTTGCTTATATGAACAGGAAGACTACACTTCTCTCCGTCATCTGGAGCAGAAAACGACTAATTTGAAAAAATCGTATTTATAATACTTTTTACTTGAAATTCTATTTTTTAAAGGAATACTGATAGATCTCTTGGAAATTTTCGTATAATATGCCACAGACCTCAAACCCGGTTTGATTTATTCAAAATATACATAAATAATACTTTCTTTACGAGAAAGGGATTACCGACGGATTGATACAAATTCGTATAATTTGGATATAAGCATAGATCGTGCGTAGGTATATTCGATTTGGTTTATTTTTCGGCTGCGGGTTCAACTTGAGTGTTAATAAGCGTAGATCGTATGTTGGGTTTGACTTACCTCGAGGGATTCTTATTGACATTTTCGTGAAAAAATTGACCCACACATACAAACAAGTATTTAGATCAATAATAAAATTAAAAAAACATTTTATTTAAAAGATGATTAATTAGGTTTTTTTTATTTTTCTTTGCAATAGCGTTTAGAATAAAAATTAGTAAAAATATAGAAATATGTGGGCTGGTCTACTAGTAAGTATTGGATGAGTGCATAAGTTCGTGCTCGATTCCGCTGGATGCCGTTCGAACCGTTTGAGAGTGGGGCTCGCGAAAGAAATATATACATATTATATAATATATCGTTGGAAAGGTGACAGTCCGAACTGTAAATCAAGTATAAAATAACTTCATTTTGATTTGAGTTGCTTAGTGAAAAGACGCATGGAAGATGGACAACGAAAAANATTTCAATTTTAGTTTGCACTTGAAATCGGGCACGAACTTATGCACTCATCCAATAGTTGATAAAATTAGAAATATTTGAAAGGCAAGCGAACGCCTCATTGTGCGACATCTTTGTCGAATTATTAAATTTCATAAAACAATATCTCTACAGCTTTTATTCTTTTGATTCCAAAGAAGAGGTACCCTGTTGGATGGAAGTGTACAATAGCGAGCTTTCACATTTACGAATTTCCAAATATTTATTCACAGAGATGAAAACCTCACCTTACGACATGCCAACATCGCTTTCTTCCTAGGAAATCGTCTTCGGACATTTACTTTGGCCAAGGTGATGAACATTAAAGTGTTTGGTCCTGTGGCAATTTAACACATTTTTGATGGATGAAATTCGACTCGAGAATTGTGTATATCTGTAAACATTGTTGGCATTTGTTTGCCCTTGTGAAATTACACACATCTTATTACGGTTATCACAGTGTTAATCACGGTGTTGCACACCATATGCCAAATGTTGTGCATTTGATTTCAAATTCAATCCGAACTCATGTTCAACTTCACTAAAAAGATAAATATTTGCTCGTGCATACAAGTGTTTGTTTGCTTTATTTGAGTTGTCTGCAATTTACGTGGATATGCAGAGGATTGGAACGTGATGGTGTTTGCCTAACCCATAATTATGCTAACCATATTGGCCGAGACGAAGGTGAGATAATGCGCGCGTCATTTTGATTAATGGCAACCGCTAATTAGACTTTGAAGGTCTCTGCTAAAAAGTATGGAGGAAGAAAAAATGAAATAAAAAAGTATAGAAAAGGATGTTGAATTAAAAGCGCCGAAAATAAAGCAAACGAAAAATAATTCTTCTTTGACTTTATTTGTTAAAGAAGAGGATTGGTCAATTGATGCATGTTTCTTCTGCTTGTTCTTGTTCTTCTTCTTCTTTTATCATCTTAATTGGGGTAGAGACTGCTTAAGCAGTGCTCTCTTCTTCTTTATTGGCGTTGGCACCGCTGGCGCTTTGTAACCGCTCAAACGATTTTCGGCCGAGCTCCTCTTCCATTTTTATTTTTTGTGCCTTGATGTTTTTCCAATAAATGTAGGAGCCTACAGTTTACACTGAGCTACCTCCGAACGGTTGATGGTTTTTTATGAGGAGCTTTATTTCATGCCCGAAATACACTCGGAGGGGCGCTATTAGAAATTTTAACTTATTTTTTTATTCAAATTAACTTTCTACAATTTTTTTTGATGCTGTTCACACCAGGCTTGGACCCCGGGCCTTCCGAATGGTAGTACAAAATGCTAAGCACACGGCTACTGCAGCCGCGATTATAGCCGAATCAATATTAGCGCGTCATTCAACCCTTCCTTTCGCTGTTTGGCGCCGATTGGAAATACCAAGTGGAAGCAGTTCACTTTATACCTAATCCTTCCAACGCAGTGGAGGTTTTCCACCAGAGGGTACTGCATCGAATACTTTTAAAGCTCGAGTGCTTTCATCCATTCGGACGATATGACATGGTACTTCACTGCCTGATTTATGGAAATGAGTAGAGATCTTCCTCTTCCTCTGCCTCCACTATCGTCGGGTACACATCGAAAACTTTCAAAACTAGAGTTTTTGCGGGCCGTCGCTATTACGCCAAAGCTTAAGCCTTCGCAATATCTCGAGAACCCTTCAATCCAACTAATCGGATGTCGTTGTTGTTGTTGTTGTAGGGTTCACTAGCCGCGCTTAGGGACATGCTAGGTAGTATAACGGGAGTTCCAAGAAACGAGCTATTTCGCCGAGCTTGGACCAGATTAAGAGGGCAGTTAGATGTGTCAGTTTCGTTATGTCGGTTGTCCTCAATGCCGGCGGTAAAGCTTTGGTCTCTGAGACGGTAGTTTACGGGAATACTGATTCTTAGATAGACCAAATTATCTACGACTGCGTTCTCATACGCAAATTTTGAATTAATTAAAACCTGAAGTTTGGAATTGATTGAAGTTAGTCGTCAGCTTTAGACAGTCCGACTTGTAGTGGTCCCGTGATTGATATCTAGAAAGCTCAGCACTTTACGGTCTAAACTTCATTTGGCTCATGTCATGAATATGCCACACCAAAAAAAAAAAGTTTCTAATCACTGAATTTCTAAGGATTGTGACGAATATTTCTCTTGAGTTAAATATAAATGGCATCGCAATAACCATAGAGAACAATAGAACCTTTTTGAAAGCTTAAAGGAAGCTGTATGGGAGCAACTCAACTGTCTCAAGACCAGAGTGATCGGGATGTGGTGGAAGATTCACATCGCGCTGCTCGACCCATCAACGTCTTCAACTGAAATTAATACTGCTATCAGAAAACTGCCATTCGGAAGGCCAGCCAAGGATTTCTGGTCCGCCCAATATCCAAAATAATAGTAAAACAATCCAAGCAAATTATTTAAAGTCATTTTATTTCCATAAATAATTTTATATTTTAAGATTTTTTAAACGATTTACAAAGTTTATGTACATATTTCAGGAAAAATAAAGTTCTTTTAGAGAACGTAAAAATCTGAGTAGGGACACAAACCCAATTCCATTCTAAGCCCCGCTTCCTCTAATAAAGCGGAAATCTGATTATTATTTTTCAAAAAATCTATGTGTTCCTTGCTATATGGCATACTCTTTAATGAAAATAACAAGTATTTCGAGTATTGAACTTGGACCCCTACCACACTTTTATACGTTCCCCAATCTGTATCAAACCAAATATAAACTAAAAATAGAACATTTCTTTCGTTTCCAAAGCTATTGTAAATTTCTATTATCACATTCAAGACACTTAGTTGGCAAAATATATATAGCTCAGCTATATTCATCTCTTGATCCACTTTCATGGATGGGCAGATCATATATTTGATATATTTTGTAGATCAACCGTAATAATCTGTCTGCGGTTATTCTCCTGCTGCTTAACTCCTATTTTCTAGATATTACTAAACAATTATTCACAGCGCATTTACAAAGCGTACTAAGTTAGTTCAAAATCATCATAATCCACCACAAGGCGAGCTCACACTAGTCCAGTAGCTCCTTCAAGGTTCGTGGCGTGTAAACATTAACAATGGAATCCCAGCCACAGTCCGCTAGCTGATGTGGTATGCTCGTATTCCAATCCAAGCCGCAAACGAACTCTGTGTGATTTACATTGACTTCCATGGCGTCCAAAGATTGATTGAAATCCCAAATTCTGTATGTGTGAGAGAAAGGGAGAGAGCGTCCCAATAATGGAATTGAAATTTGAAATGAAAAGAAATATATCATGCGAAATACCTCGTTGTGAAATCATAATTAGCCGTCGCCACTATCGACGCCGAGGTCGGCGAACAAGCCAGTCTTCGTACGGCGAATTCTCCCGAGTAAAGCTGAAAAATGTGATGTCGCATATTTCGCAAGTCCCACGCACGCACCAAACCATCCGAGCCGCCACTCATCAATATGTTTCGATCGAATTGACTCCAGTCGCAGGCCAATACTTCACCGTTGTGTGCTGCCTCGATGCTCATCAATGGTTTACCTGAAAATTCAAGAGCAGAATTCCATAAGTTTAAATTACCATCTGTACTTACGCTAGCAAAGAGATTGGCAATAAGCGGTGAGAACTTTGCACAATAGATGAGGTCACTGTGTCCACTGCAGGTGGCTATCGAATTCTGGCGATGGCAGTCCCACAATTTGATGGTACCATCCCAACTGGCCGACAAGAGTTGATGACAATTCCACTGTTCGCCCCAATCGATGCTGTAAACCTCATTTTTATGTTCTTGCATACAAATTAACGGTTGTTTTGACGTTTTCAAGTCTGTCTCTGTAACGAGGTTATCATCTAGACCACCCCAAATTTGTAACGAACCATCGCCAGAAGCCGTTGCCGCTATATTATCTGCGTACGGACACCAAGCCTGGAGAGTTGGAAAAGAGAGGAAAATAAGGTGAACTAAATTTAAAAGAAATGATGAAAAATTGTCTTCACTTACCACATCGAAAAGTCCATCAGTCCACTCCATGCGTCCAAGTTCCGTCAAGCCCTTGCCACCCGGCGGAGGTAGTTCTAGCAGAAATAGCGTGCCACCACCAGCCAAACCATACAGCTGGCTTGTTGCCAGCAATAAATGATTCGGCTGGAAGGGCGAAAAGCCAACACTGTAGCCATGGCGGTCAGGAGTGGAACACGATTGCATTTTCGGCGTTCTATATTCTGAAATGAAAAATTAAACACTTTTTATAAGAAAGAATGAAGTTACTAAATACAAACTAAATAATAAAATTTCCACAAGTTGTTTGGGCTACACGAGAGTTTTTAGTGAATGTTTCGTAAATCTTATGCTGTTCAGAAAATTTTAGCTTTGAAAACTTTTGGTGCTCGGCCCGTGGGTGAAAAAAAAGTAAGAGGAACACGTTTAGTCCCTTGGAAGGGTCGAGTAGCTGGAAACCTTCTTGTAAAAGACGGTGCGCTGTCACAATAACTGTGAAGTTCGGGGTGTCCTACGCCGAATTAAAGATCGTGGAAAGACTGCTCTCCACTCATATTCACTCGGCGAATATCCAATATTCTTTTCTAAGAAGCTGGAAGACATGCTTGGTGGCGGAATTATTCCTAGGAGTGTGCATTTAAAAATGGAAAATTATTTAAATGCTTTTTTCTAATTCCGTTCGACCCTTGGCAGAGAATGTCAACGCCTACGAGTATATTTCTGGCATGAAATACTCTCCTCATTAAAATTTAATTCACAGATATTCGGAGATGGTGTAAAATAAACTTTAACTGTCCCTCCACTATTTGAGACTACAGTCGTATCACCTTCTTAAAACGTTCGCACAGTACCCTGAACACGGAATGTAGCAAGATCATAGCCAGACAAATATGAAAGGCCAACAAAATTAAATGAACTCTCTGCGATACTTTGGAAGAAATGCGCTGAACTACATGAATTATACTCTAATTTTGATAGTTACTATACGAAAATTAATCAGAAACCAGACCTTTCCAAATCCGCATAAAAGCCCTGCCCAGTATTAAGCGAAAACAGGGTCCTCTATCACACCGAAAGGATGAAGTCGATTATTATTATTAGATACTAGTTTGTATACAAGCAGGCCGAGATGATTAAATTAATTTATACCATTGCAACATATAGACTCCATACAACCGTTTCGCTCAGATATAATTTTTTACGTCAAAAGGCCTTTTATGAGCGTGAAATTTGATATTCTATCATCGAAATGGGAAGACTACACCATACAACCGATTTTTTTTAGATAAGACATTAGATATGTAATCTTAAAATGTAACACAAAAAAAAGAAGAAATGCTCAATAGTGGTATAAAGACTTCGGTGCGGACGAAAACGGCATTTATCTTTGTTTATATACGCTTTGATCAGTCAAAACAACAACCACATCTTAAAAGGTGCATTTCTCTACTGTATGCCCAAAAGTATACTTCAAAACATTAGTATGCCAGTTAGATGCCTCAAATGAAACCGGAATCCAAAATTTCGTTAATTTTTTTTATATATGTACATTGCCGCTTGTGTTGGTATAACAGTTTTCGGTAAATACATAAGTTTATGAGCATGTGTGTGATTAGGAGCATGTTTATGTTTTTTTTTAAGTTGCATATAAATCTTGTTTAAAATAAAAATTAATCCAATAAACATTACAATGTTATTTGATGGTTCATAAAAAATTTTGGAGTTTAAAATTTTTTCTTCCAATTCTAAAAATAATTTTTTATTTAATATTATTTTTCGAGGTATAGCCAGTGCTTGTGCCATTAGTGGATTAATTATTTATAATTGTTATAATTGTAAATTTTTTATTTATATTTTTTTTATACAGAATTCATTTATTTACTGGATCTGCTATAATATAAGCCTAACGGTAAGTGTACAAATCTTAAAAACTAAATTACAAACATGATAGCTCAAGTTATTTAACTCTGAGCCCTTTTCAAACTACGGCGCTCTCCTTAGAAGGCGGGAACATCTCTTCGTTGCAGGCGGGAATTTCTCGATGGGTTTCATAAAGCATTAGCTAGCGGATTTGGATGATTTCTTAGCTTTGTGAAGTACTTCATCCTGCTTCTTTCAATTTCAGGCTTAACCAGTAAAATCATAAGGTCATGATAAATGTTAACGCTACGAACGTACCATGGTGCTCCCGTTATTGCTCTTAAAATTTTTGACTGGAACCTCTGTATTTTCTCGATATTAGTTGCACAGGTCATACCCCACAGTTGAATACCATACATCCAAATTGTTTTTAATACTGCATTGTAAATAAGGACTTTGTAGTCTAGTTTTAGACCGGAGTTTTTATTTAAAAGCCAATTTAAACTAGCTGCTTTTAATTTCATGTGTAGTATTTTTGCCTCTATGTGTCTCTTCCAAGTGAGACGTCTATCTAAGTGTATACCGAGATATGCAACACCATTTACTTGGGGAATGTTTATACCATTTAAGTGAATTGCAGGACATGATTGAGGTCTTAAAGTAAATATGACGTGTTCATTAACTTTAATTCTCCAGTTTTCTAGCCATTCTTCGATCAGGAGTAAATGATCACTAATCGTTTTTGCTGCTCTTTTAGGGCATTTATCCCGGCATAAAATAGCTGTGTCATCCGCAAAGGTTTAAAGGGATGTCTGCCGTGTATATGATATTTAAAATAGGCCCGAAGACGCTACCCTGCGAAACACCCGCTTTTACCGGATACTCCCCACTGATAAATTCAGATTGTTTAATGGTAAATTGTCTGTTAGTCAGATATGACTTAAGTATCATATAAAATTGAACAGGTAGAGCTTTTTGTATTTTGTAGAGTAAACCTTTATGCCAGACTTTGACGAACACTTGTGCTACGTCAAGAAAGATGTTGTGCAACAGTACTCCTTGAGCTCGAATGCCTTTCTGATTTCATTAGTTATTCGGTTAACTTGTTCAATGGTATTATGCTTTTCACGAAAGCCGAATTGGTGATCTGGTATCACATTGTTACGGTGGAGAAAAGGAGATATTTTTGAGAGCAGAATTTTTTCAAATAATTTGGAAAGACTGGGTAGTAGGATTATTGGTCTGTAAGACGCCGCCTATGTGTAGTCTTTGCCTTGTTTGGCTATCATTAATATCTGCGACTTTTTCCACGCGTTTAGAAAGTAATTTAGTTTTAGAATGGCATTAAAGAGTTCAGAGAGCAATGCTTGTGCAACTCTTGGTAGCTCTATTAGCATTTTAGATGTAATGAGGTCATAGCCTGGAGATTTCTTTGGATTCAGTTTCTGTATCGCGCTACCACTTCTAGGTTGATATTTTAATTGTAAATAAATAAATAAAATATTATTCGAGTAGTTCACAGTAAGTTTTAGTTATAATAACTAATTATTGCGAAGAAATTTGTTTAAAAATATGGCAATTTCTGTATAAAAATTAACTCTTCTTATGTTATTAATTTAAGCAACAGTTAACAGATTTTATTTTTACTTTTGTTGAGTGATACGATTTAATACTTCGTAAAATATAGAGTTTTCTTAACCCTGTTTTTATAGGAACTCAACTATATTTGTTTACTGGGCTTATGAATTAACATAGTTTTTTTTTTTACTTATCTTCATCCAAAATATTGATTATTTTTCGTAATATTTGTTCTTCTACCCGTATCCTTTCTATGGCTTCTACGTAGTAAACGACACTTGCTCGAATATAAGTATAACAGCGAAAAGCATTGGAAAATGGAAAGAACATTGGAACGCAGCAAAACCAAACGAAAAACGCAGTAAGCGAATTCCATTTGTGTAATAAAAGAGAAAAATGCTTAGTAGTTTAGTCACGTGTTTAGACATCGTATTGGAAAATTTCTCAAATGCAAAAAAATTGCAAACCATCAAAAGACGTTGCAATATTCAAACAAAAGTAATTAGAGACATTTGTAAAGCAATCATTGTACTTAAAATGAAATTCAGCTAAAATAATAACAATAAATAATATTTGTATTTAAACAAAATCAAAGTAACGAAAATATTTCCAGAACTCTATAAGTATGTATGTATGTATTAGGCGCGGTAATGTGGACCATAAATCCCTAAAATAAATAAAAAAAAATAAGAGTAAACATATATATGTGGTTTTCGATGCAATCTGTCGTTTTTTTTCCTATAACAAGTTACTTCAATCGTTTAAGATTTTAATTGACGACAACGATCCCAACATACCCCATCTCTTGCGCAATCGATCGAGAGCAAGCGGGAGGGATAAATGAAAAAGCTAACATATTTATGTGTGTAGGTATCACAATTGACCCAGAGTGGTTTCCAAAAATCATCTAAATTTGTAAGCTAATAAATCATGTAATAGGGATATAATGGGATGTAGTCAAGCTTCAGGATATGCAGTTACAGTCGCGGGACTATACTTAATTCCTCCACCTGCACGCTGAAAGCGTGGCCAACCCTTGTGTCACAACTAACAGCGAGAAAACTTCAGTGCAGCCACGTCGACATAATCGGTTTAATGGTTCGCTGAAGTCTAGTAAACACCTTGAATGATGAATATATTAAGGGCTTTTGATTTTAAGTAAGTTGGAAAAGGACCGCTACTCAGCTGATTGATGTCGTCATAAGACTACAGACCTAAATACATTACCACCGTCCAATAAGTGTGACGAACCAAACAAGAACGAAGACGAATTGTTCTCTATAACATTTTCTGCAGCGGCCATAGGAAGGAACCCGAATTTGGTGTCAGGTTGGAGATGAAAGAGACTCCGTCGCCAAGTCTTGGCATTCACTCCGGCGGATGCGGTAAATCGAAATTTTTCAATGTTATCGATGATTCGTGCCAACGCCTCCAGGGAAAAGAAGTGCGATGTGTGCAATAAGGCCTTTTTTGAGCGCCTTAAGCGTACTCGTGAGGGGCCAGTGCGATATCAAAATTCAGCCACTTTGAAGCCATGCTGAGCAAAGAAGGTATCTTCGATGCAACTGCCGAAAAATTTTGCCTTCAAGGTGAAACATCAGCAAATGGGTTTGATGCTGATCTACTGCGCCGGTTGTTTGCAGTACCAGCTGTCTTAAGGTAATTCATTATCGTGTGACTCCTTTAATTTGTTGCTGGAGAAAATGTAGAGCTGATTAATACTTTAATCTTCTACAAGAGAGCGCAAAGAGAAATACACCACCAAAGTACTATTTACTTCTCTCATGAGGCTGACTTTGGATTCTGATTTAAATAGTTGTATGGAATTCACGATGTCGATCGTATATTATTCGGCTTAAGAAATTTACGCTGGGACGCGGAGAAGAAGATCCCTACTGACAAAAGTAATTTATGGCTCATTAATCTGCTTACACTCCGCATATAGACGCAGAGAGACTAACCATAAAATCCCTTTAAGTTCATCTATGTAGGTGTTTTTGACCCCCTTTCAATTTTTCCCATATAATATATAGCAGCTGCTGAGCAAATCTATAACTGCCCAATGTACGACCTTCCACGATCGCTCTCGGGCTCAGTGCAGTCCAGTCTGCCATTTTCGATCGTCGTCTTCAATTATAATCGTTTGAAGTATGGTTTTAGAGAACTCATAACAAGGAAATTTGGATGGACCAAAAGCTGGTTTTTAGAAATCATTTAAATTTGTTTTATCAGCACACAAGGCATGTAATAAGGTAATAATGGGATGTAGTTAAGCTTCTGGTGCGATATCCAACTTCTACTCTTATCGATCGTCATTCGATATCAGCTCAAAAACTAATAATGAAATTGACTTCTGGTCTTCGAAGATTAAGAAAACGAGTTTGGACTATACTTTTCACAGATTGCCTCACTCACAGCACCAATAATAATTAGTAAAAAAATTGCTGTTACAAAACGAGGTTGTTAAAGCCGACCAGAATGACAGTGTCGGTTAGATTCCCTCCGTCGATTAGATAAACTCACAGTAGAAATAATCTGCATTATACTAAGCAAGTACATCAACCTTTTCGATGGTTTCACTCTTTCCTCAAAGCCAAAACCTTCGAGCCGAAAAACGTTTAAACGGCCCGATAATCTACTAAAGGTTCGACCCAACCCAGCTGATCCATGTTTATCAGCCGCCTCGCCTTCATTCGTCTCCCGTACTTACTTTCTATAATCTGACTGTAGTATTCCCCTGCATAACCTTCCTGATTGGATAAGACTCAGAGTAACCCATACACATTCGTGTACCTCTAACCTTGCTTGAGGTCGCGCAAAATGTTAATGTCACACAAAATGACAACCGACATTTACTTTGCCACTATTTACACAGGCCAAAGAAATGAAAACATCGCATCGTAACTGACCATCGATCCACTAAGCCACACAAGTAGACAAACCATGGAGTTTTCTTGGTATTCTTGGCACTACAATTCCGCAATTTCGCAATTGATGTCCAAACAACGGTTTCTCATGGCCGGTCACTGGAATGTTAGCATAATTAAAAGGCAATGCGCCACACCGGCGAGTATGTAATGAACGCGCAAATCCACTTAGTGTAGCTCGATAGCTAACAACCTACATGGCAGAGCCCCCTTTCAGGCAGTGTAATTGGGGATGAAAAGCAAAGGTATATAAGCAGGTGCACGCGGTCAATATGTACGCATTTCCCTTCAGACGCGCGCGAACATTACAAGAACCCCAAACCAAAGAAATCATTTAGTGTTAGAAACATTAGTATTTGAGGACGTTTGAGACAAGACGCAAGGATATACGGGAAATTTTAAATCGAACTAGTGGTAATTAAAGAAAGAAGAGAGCTTCAAAAATGGTTGTTTCAGTAAAAGTATTTAAGAAAGCCACGCCCAATGGCAAAGTGACCTTCTATTTGGGACGTCGTGATTTCATCGATCACTTGGACTACTGTGATCCTGTTGATGGCGTTGTGGTGGTCGATCCGGATTACTTGAAAAATCGACGCGTATTCGGACAACTCGTCACCACCTATCGTTATGGCCGCGAAGAGGATGAGGTCATGGGTGTCAAATTCTCCAAGGAGCTAATCTTGTGCCGCGAACAAATTGTTCCAATGACCAATAGCAACATGGAGATGACACCAATGCAGGAGAAACTTGTACGCAAGCTAGGCAGCAATGCACATCCTTTCACCTTCCACTTCCCACCCAGTTCACCCAGCTCTGTGACACTACAACAGGAGGGCGATGATATGGGCAAGCCATTGGGTATTGAATATACAATTCGTGCTTATGTCGCCGACACTGAGGATGATCGTCAACACAAGCGTAGCATGGTCAGCTTGGTAATTAAGAAATTGCAATATGCACCACCCACACGTGGTCAACGCTTGCCAAGCTCTTTGGTGAGCAAGGGTTTCACTTTCTCCAATGGCAAAATCAGTTTGGAGGTGACCTTGGATCGTGAGATTTACTATCATGGCGAGAAGGTGGCTGCTACAGTACAGATCAGCAATAATTCAAAGAAGTCAGTGAAGAATATTAAATGCTTCATTGTACAACACACAGAGATCACTATGGTTAATGCACAGTTCAGCAAACATGTAGCACAGTTGGAGACCAAAGAGGGTTGCCCCATAACACCGGGCGCTAATCTCTCGAAGACGTTCTATCTGATTCCACTGGCTGCAAATAACAAGGATCGTCATGGTGAGTATTGGTTGGAAGCTTGGTGTGAAAATTTTGGCAACACAGAGGTCTGCAGAAGATTAATGAAGAAAATATTTCTGAGTTTAGGTTTTTGTTAGACTGAAGTTAGACTGAGCTTCTTTTTATGCATAAATGGTATCATAGCTCTAACGGATGAGTTCAAGACATTTTAAGATGACTTAAAATCAATGTTTATGGGGGGAGAGCATTTTAGAAGCGAAATCGTTTGAGTACAGGTTCACAACAAAGGCAATGCGAGTGAATAGGTCTGGGCTTCTGTGGCGCTTGTACGGAATAATAATTTTAGATATTGTCAACCTTTTATCCGAATTCGAGGATTTCATTACCTTATTTCTTACAGCAAACAATCGGTTCTCGACACTTTTCTATCAGTCGCTTAAGCCAAAAGTTTAGAAAAATAGATGTGGAGCTCTAATTTGTTAAGCTCAGCTAATAGACCTTTGTCATTCTATCTTGACCTGCTCGCGGTTCATCTAGAACTAACAGTACAATAACACTGAGGAGGCTATCGAGCAGGGGTAGTGCTAGAGTCACTGCTCAGCCCTGACATTTGCGCGGCAGAACTTTAGCGAAAAACACTTCTACTACTGTCTCGCTGAGCTAGGTAAACTCAAGAGCCTACCCCTGTGAGTGATCACGATTGACATCAGCTAGTCATTATCTGCTAAGAAGAACTTATCATTGTTGAATTCCTATATAATTTGCAAACGATTTGTCGACTGAATGCTTTTTTTTTTCTTTTTTTCTTTGAAAATTCTGTTTTAAGGTATTTTTATCATTTTCTTTCATCTCTTAATCAATACACTGAAAGAGCTGTGCATTATATCCGAGTCACATTTAGTTTAACGTCTTTCATGTACTTAAGGCTGCAGAACACTTCAAACCAATACTTTCAATTTGTTTGGGTTTTTCTTATTTTAGTTTTGTTTTCTGAATTTCTACTAATTATGCCCTGGTTGATATTTCTTCGTGAATAGCCCCTAAATGTAGGCCACATTTTCATTTTTTTTTTGCATTACCACTATTCTGCGCATAAAAACGGAAACATTGCCTACAATTGGGAGCGATATTGACTTCTTTTAGTCAAGTCACATACCTTTTATATTATTTTTCCCCTAAGTAGTTAATCTTATAGGAATTAGTTGTTTGAATTTTTTTCGCGCTCTCTTTTGGAGTCTATATCACTTAACATTTTATTGAAACACTTTCACTGCACAAAAATAGGTATTGCACTCGATGGCCATTTGAAGGATGAGGATGTAAATTTGGCCTCATCTACTTTAGTACAGGAAGGAAAATCCACAGGTGACGCTTGTGGTATTGTAATCTCATACTCGGTACGCATCAAGCTGAACTGCGGCACTCTGGGCGGTGAAATGCAGACAGATGTGCCATTCAAACTGCTACAACCAGCACCGGGTGAGTTGAAAATTGCACTTTTTTTTGGTAAGAACAAAAAATGATTAATACGAATGCGCACGCACCACAGGTTCCGTCGAAAAGAAACGCTCCAACGCCATGAAGAAGATGAAGTCGATTGAACAACATCGCAATGTCAAAGGTTATTACCAGGATGACGATGATAATATCGTGTTCGAGGACTTTGCCAAGATGCGTATGAATAATGTCAATATGGATGATTAGATTTAGATGTAAGCAACGTGGACGGTGAGGTGTTGACGGTAATGTTTGGCTTGTGGGTGGTTCGAGTTGACCGATATTTGATTACCTTTGCAAGTTATGTGCCACGAGGGCGTATGTGATATTTCTAGTTATTTGTTAGTATTGACGAGGTGAAAGTTATTTGTGTTTGTTAATTTGTTGCAACCACTTTAAAAAAAAAAAAAACAACAACAACAACAACAACAACAATAGTCATTAAGACATCGCATTAACGACGCATCAGCAGCGGCACTAAAATTTAATCCTTAATTTATAAATAATTTCTGTTGTATAAATAAAATTTCTTTGACTTTTGGTGCGTTTAAATACATACATACACACATACATACATACATGTATAGTATGTCGCACTACGGTTATTTAATAAAAGAGCAACAACAAGTTAAAGATCTGTGAAAGAAAAAAACAACACGTATATTTTCATTCAACACTTGTACTTACTTGTCAGAACACACAACAACACTGTTTTTCAGTAGTGAAAACTACTATTTTTTTTGGCGAAAAATATTCTTATAATTTTATTAATAATTTTAAAATATTTTAAACGAAATTTAAAATATTCTAAATCAAATTTAAGATAATTCAAGCCTATTTGAAGCGTTTTATCAGCCAAATGTACTAAATGTAGTATCCGTTCGGCTTGTAGCAAGTTTCAAATGCGACTGTTGCACGAGTGGCAAGGTCAACAGTAAAGACGACTAAACGAAGTTGTGTCGTGCTTTGTGTATTGGGGTTGGACCAGGGTTTTGTATGAGGGTTGCATATGGAAAACCAATGTTGTTATGTTTGTGTTTATATTTATGTATACAACAACAACAATATCTTTGTCTTTACTATGATTGTAAGCATAGTAGCCCTTTCCTTATGCTTAACCTGCGCTGTGAGCTACCCTTATTGTACTGTTCAAACAAATACAATCAAAAGGAGTTTGTAACCTTAGCCAATCAGCTTTCAGCAATGCGTCAGCAACCCTTTAGCGTGCCGGCTTTTCATTGGTCTTAAGGTGAAGTCCTTGCAATATTTATATTAACATAGAAACTGACCTTCTGCCTTGGCGGTCAGCCACATTCTCTTGCTTATAGATAATACATATATATATATTAGTATATACTTACGTATGTTCCCTTTATTCGTTTTCCCTACCAAAGCAGCCATAATTGCTGATCTCTTACTGAAATATTCGTTACTTATGCAAATCAGTTCTTTTCTCTTTATAATTATTTTTATTACATTTTTTTTCAAAAACTTAAACCAGTTTGTGCCAAAATCTGCAGCTGTTTTGGAGTTTTGCAAAATGCCCACTATCTGCCAGTTGACAAGGTCATGCTTTGTATAGTTTATTTTGAACTGTGAAAGGTGTTGGCTGTAGTAGTGCTGAGTTCTGTTGAGCTGCTGAAAACTTAAGGAGTCTCATTGAAAAGTGTTGCTTCAAATACTTGACCTTGAACGGTGTCGAACGGTGTCGAACGGTGTTTTTATATAACTTGTGATTATGAGTAAAATGCATTCTTAAACGCATGGTGAATACCGTTACAAAAAAATATTATTAGCACTGCCGAAAGTTATTTTTTATCGAAGGAAGGAAGGAATTTTTTAAGAAGGAAGGAACTGACTGCACTTATGGTTGATAGTCATGGGTTCAGGGCTCAAACATAACACTGCGAGTCCTTTATCCCTTCAATTATACTGACGGGATATGTATTACTTGGACGCCGAAATGGTGTCGAAGCTTTACACCATTTAAAGTAGCCGGTACCGTTGGAATTTTTCGTAACCTGTTGCAAAATCTGTCAGGATTGTTGACGAAAAGACTTGTTTACGTGTATTCGCTGGACGTAATCCCCGTTTGGTTGGCATTAGGCTAAGGTGATTTTTATGCAGAAGTCTGGTAGGAAGGATGACTCTGTACCGAAATCCGAAAGGATTAAAATCATACACAAAATCGCATTTGAGCCTCCTCAGGGGAGCATCTTGTATCCGCTTTTGTGGGTCACTTTGATCGACCAGAACATTTAAAGGTAGTACGTTGTGAGCATGATCTTGCCATCTTGTCTTCTGACAAACATTCACACCAACTATCACGGAGAGTTATAATACCCATCAAGTGCAGGGGGGAATATGTGGAAAGTATTACTGGCCCTACTTTCCATGAGAGCAATTGCACAAAAAGTCGTGGCTACGATCTGGGATTTCGCCTTGCCTTTTCACAAGTGTCGTTAGATGCCTACCAATATTATATATGGACTACAGTATTGTGATGGGCGACATTAAGAAAGAATTGAATAAATAGAGTCTACTTGATACAGCGGTCGGGATGAGGACTACCTTACAAAAGCACATTGCTACAAATATCATGACATGATCCAATTGATAATGATCAACGTCGTGTTGGCCTTCTTGTAAACGCTGGTACCAGTCGAGAACTCTTACTTTACTCATAGTCCTTTTTAAGTTTAAGGATTTTCATCCTTATCGTTGTGAGGTGTCCAGGATTCTGTACAAAACCTAATATTTAAGAACCAGTTGGGAAGATCCATACCCTTACAGTCTCTGCAGTACCCTCAATCCAGCTTCTTCTCTGCGTAATCTTTTCAACGAAATGGAGGTATTCCTCATCCTTTGCTACCACCAGCGGGTGCTGCATCGAAAGCTGAAGTATTGTTATCCATCCGGACCACATGACCTAGCCAGCGCAGCCGATGTTTCTTGATTCGCTGAACTATGTTATACAACTCATCATTCCATTGGCTGCGGTATTCGCTGTTCCCAACTCGTAGATGACCGCAAATCTTACGCAAAACCTTTCTTTCGAAAACTCCTAATGCCGACTCATCAGATGTTGTCACCGTCTATGCCTCCGCACTATATATAATAAATGAACGCGAACGATATGCGACTTATAGAGTTTGGTCTTCGTTCATCGAATAAAGTCTTTTTTCTCCAATTGCCTACTCAGTCCAAAGTAGTTTATGCCGGTTCCAAGTTAGACGATATTATTTACGACCTCGAAGTTGTGACTGCCAACAGTGACGTGGGAGCCAAGTCGAGAGGAGATATTTTGTCCTGCCCTCGTTCACTACCAGACTAATATTCTTCTCTTCCTTATCCAGTCTGGAAAAAGCAGATTCACCGCGCGGTTTTTGAGACCAATAATGTCAATATCAGCGGCGTACGCCATCAGCTGTACACTCTTATAGAACATTGTACCTTCCCTATTCAGCTCCACAGCTCGTATTATTTTCTCCAGCAATAAGTTAAAGAAGTCACACGTCAGAAACCTCATTTGGTATCAAACAGCTCGGAGAGGTCCTTTCGAACCTGACGAAGCTTTTAGTGTTGCTTAGCGTCAGCTTACATAGCCGTATAAGTTTTGTTGTGATACCAAATTCAGACAAAGCGGCGTAGAGGCAATTCCTATTCGTGCTGTCGAAGGTGACTTTAGAATCGACGAAGAGGTGGTTTATGCTCTTTTCACGGATCTTTTCCGCATGGTAAATATCTGATTAATGGTTCATTTACCGGTTCTAAAGTCACAATGATACGGTCCAATCAGTTTGTTGACGGTGAGCTTTAGTCTTTCACGTTAGGACCTTAAATGCGATATTGAGGAGGCGTATCCCATCCATCCCACGGATTGGGTTTTCGGGCTCACCATCTCCGAGTTTTCCATTTTCACTGCGATTCAGCAGGCTGGAAAAGTGTTCCCTACTTTACGAACGATTAATTTGTAGCCACAGGAACTATAGGGAATTGATCTGGGCTAGATTTGAGTGTAAGAGCACCGTGATGGAGCACACTGCCCAATTAACGGGTTTAGTTTGATTGCTAATTTTCAGAAGTTGTTATTATATATTATATGTATTTCTCTATCTGCTTCATCTTCGATATGGATTTCAAAATTATATTAATGTCACACTCCCATTTATTTTCGTATTAAAATTGCACTATTTTCACTCACACCCCAGTCAGTGGAGAAATTATGTATATTTTTCCGTTGCACAATCATCATAAATTTTTTGATTGGAATCTGTCTCCAATGACTTGCTCTTTACCGTTTATATACATTTGTATGTATCTAAGCTTTATTTTTTTCTTTGTCATAAATATTAACGCTATGAATACGTCATCAGTCATTTCACACTCCGTTGAATTGTGCCACGAAAAATTGAATAGAGTGAATTGCAATGGAAATATAAATGAAAGAAAATTGAGATTTAAATCGACCCGCTAACTGAGCGCCACACCAGATACACCACGCCACGGTTAAGTGGTCCTCTGTGGCATTCAAAAGAAAAACTTCCGCTTCAAAGGGTTTGACTATGCCGTCAGTGGAGCTATAAATGCAACTGTCACTGCGCGCTTGAGCTTTATGAGCGTTCGAACGGCATCAGTGGATACTGGCATTACAAGTTGATGCCAAATAAGCATTATAATTTATACTGAATTAGAAGCAAAAGTGAAAAAATATTTTAATCAAAAATAAATAAAAAAAAAAACAAAATGTATATCATTTTAATATTCGCCGCTTTGCTTTTACCAAACGCGCACACATGGGCCGCTCAACAAACTTACGCACTACGCGATCCACGCATTCGTCAGCTCGGTACCGCCCACGCCAATCGTCAGCCGCTTGATGTGAGCGCTGAACAAACGGCAACATTTAATGCCACAACACTTCTCAAGCATCTACCAGCGTACGGTTTCAACGCGAATATCAACGAAAGAAGATATCAACCACAATATACGGCAACGCAACGTGCCACGCCGCCTGAAGTGGCCAAATATCGCAATCTGGGTAATTATTTCCAAATTATACCGCCAAATAGCGAACTAACGATGTTGGCGCCACCTGCCGCTGAGACGAGAGAACGACGCGAGCATAAGCCTCAGTTGGCGCACTTAATACCTATTAGCTTTAATCATCATGTCTTCCATTGGGTACGCGCTCCCCTGCCAGACACTCGTCCACGGCGCTATACAAATGTGAGTTCCAGTGTGGAGCGCCAACAAGATGAGTTGCAAGATCTGAATGCATTAGACTCTAAGGTGTTGGAATCGCAGGCGGTAGCGTTTGATTCAAAACCAGATTTGGAGCTGGAGGATAATGTAAGAGATGAGCAGAATCATTATGAAGAATATCCTAAATTATTAAAGAAGACACAATCTTTTCAGTAAGTGTACATTGGTGATTTTAGAAAAATAAAATAAAATTCGATTTAAACGTTTTACCTTTATATGTACATATGTATATCATTTCAAATTTCTTTTCGCTGAAATTCAATGCTGTGAAATGGTGAAGCGGTGAAATGAAAAGTAATTTCACATTTACATTTTCAATTCGATTCGCGCTCATACAAAATTTTTCTAAAATACAAAATAATATTTTTTATTTTCTTCTGCTGCAAGGAGTAAAAGAATCGTTTAATACGAAATCATGGATAATGTAAGCTGGTTTTGCTTCTTATGCTTTCGATTCAGCAATAAAAAGTTATTTCATATGAAAAATAGGTATCCAGATATATCTTTTTTTTAATTTTACGCAACTCTTACTTTGTCTATTATTCTATCTTTTAGAAATGATGCGAACTGCTTTTTTTAATTTACGAAAATTCTTAGAAAATGGTTATCTGGTTTTCGTGATACTTTTTTGGCTGCCGCAATAACCGAGTGGTTAGCGTTGTGTACTGTCATTTGAAGGACAGGTTATGAGTCCTGGTCCAACCAACATCAAAAAAAATTATAGAAACTTCATTTAAATAATAAATTAAGTTAATTTTTCTTATTGCAATCGGCTCTGGGCTGGAATTGTCAAGCCTTCCGAATGTATTTATGACATCAAAGAAAGGCTCCTCATAAAAAACCATCAGCTATTCGGAGGCGGCTTTGTATAAACTCCAGATCGCTCCAACAGCAAGATAAATTAGAGAAGTTACTCGACCGAAAAATCGCTTCAGTTGTTACAAAACGCCAATTATACATATATATTTTTTTTTCTTTGAAAACTAATAGTAATAGTTACCCTAATTTCTATTCCAATTTATTTTCATTTCAGTTTTTTTATGCAAAATATTAAACCTTCATATGAAAACCAAGCAATGAATTAATTTCAAACTGTCTCACACAAATTTTTCAAAAATCTTTGGTACCCAAAACTTTTGACAGCAATTCTAGTAGAAATAAAAATTGCTAGCCCAGCAATTAGAAATTTACTTTCTGAAACCAAATTACCGGTAAATTAGCGCGATCGCGTACTTCAATTTCTATTTCTGCAATTAAATGAAACTAGTTAGCAGAAGCTAGTTTCAGCGTGGCAGCATTGTCGAAATTGAAATTCTTTTCACAGCAAACTACGGTAAACATTATCTGAAAACTACTACTACGATTAAACTGTTTGCTGAGCAGCGGTTCACAAAAATAGAGACTTAAATATAAAACAATTTAATTTTGCGAATTTCTTTCCGTTGTGTTATAAGGCAGATTATGCAGAGATCCGACAATATATAAGATTGAGCTCTGTGTGGAAGATTAGTAATTTTCGTATGCCAATATCATTTTTGTACGAAAACTGTTGCAGACTATTACTCCTATAGCAGATTGCACATACTCTATTCAACTCTGCAGCTTTTTTCATATTATCAAGCAATAATTTAAAGAAGTTTCCTTGTCTGAAACCTCGTTTGGTATCGAACGATTCGAAGAGGTCCTTCCCGATCCTTATAGAGCTTTTGGTGTTGCTTAACATCTTATAAATTTTTCAGCGATAGCAGCGCCGAGGCAGTTCTCTTTCGTGCTGTCGAGTTGTTGTGTGTCCAGTGAGTTTTTCGCAAGATTTTACGCTTGGAGATTATATGGTTAAATGGGATTTACCAGGAGTAAAGTCACACTGATAACTTAAAATCAGTTTTTTTGGAGGGATTTAACTTTCACACGACACGCTCGATGGAACCTTATATGCGATATTAAGGAGACTTATGCCACCGTAATTGCAACAGACTAGGCAGTTCCTCTTTTAGACTGCTCGTAACACCTATTCCTTTTACATATATATATATATATGTATAGCTCGTTAGCTATTGCTTTTTGGGGTCACCTGCCCTCGAAGTATGTAAGTCTGCTAGATTTAATAAATGTGTCACATAATCTGTGAGTATTCACCATTCGGCTGGCTGTGGCTATGCCTACTTGGCGTAGAAAAACTGTAAGAACTTCAATCAGGGCAATATTCTTAAAATATTCTTAAAATATTCTTAAAAATAAACACAATTCAGAGTTTAGTAAACTAGCTTTGGTACTACATACGACCATTTGGTAACACTATCGAGGTATTATCATGTTAAGGGAGACTAGTTGGGACAACCAATTCAAGCTAACCCAGCCATGCGGTGAGTGCACTGTGACCCTGACAACTTTTTCAGTGTTTTTGAGTACTTAATTTCAAGATACCTAGTTACAAGAATTGATGCAAATGCTTTGATTACTTTTTGAACAAGCCTTAATGCTTCTCACAAACGAACTGAACATGAACAGTTAGTCGAATGAATCGAATATACATTTTTTAAAACATTTTATATATTTAGGATGACGTACTGCGTCTGACCTATTGTGTGGCTCTATGTCCTTAGTCAGTCAATTTACAATGTATTGGGAGAAATGTTAGAGAATTGCGACGTTTTAATAATCAATCTTTTGAAGCGATCAGATAACACCATTGTAACCAGAACTTATTTCTCGGGCTCAAATCCCCTTGAAACAAGTCTCCGAGAGTTATAGAAAATTAAATTAAGCCAAACTTTCAAATTGCGGTCGCCTCTCGGCAGGGAATGTCAACCCCTCCGAGTATATTTCTGCACGGAAATGAAGCTCCTCATAAAAATAACCACCAATCGTTCGGATACGGCTTAGTATAAATTGTAGGTTCCTCCATTTATTGGAAAAACATCAAGACGCAAAACCGCAAATTGGGGGAGGAGCTCGGCGGAAAAGCGCCAATTATATAATATATACATATATATGTATATATACATAACGTAAAGATCTAGCACTTCAGAAAGCATTTATATGCTAAAATTATTTTCTCCACATTCCAGCGACATCTATCTACGCTACAATCCACCACACCAAGTGAGTTTCGGACATGTTGAATTCAAACCGAATAAGCACTTTGAAAAACGTTTCGAATCTCTTAACGAAAACGATGGCAATCGTCATCGCGGAGAGGTAAGTACGATGATGAGTGAGGGATTTACATCTCAACAATAACTACACTTAACAGTTATTCAAGCATGACTTGAACAAATGCAAATTCGTACGCTTAAGAATTTAGATAAAATTACACAGTTAACAGTTTCTTTTTTGATTTCCATAGATTATATGGGCTGATGCGACGGGCGGTTACGGTGAACACCATTGGGATTTGACGCAAGGAAAACTGCGTTGAATGGCGCCAAGAGAACGTGACTTTACGCAATTTTTAAGTATTTATTTATAGCTTTGAAGGTTGTGGCTCTTTAAGGATACCCCATTTGATATGCAAATATGAATTTCAAGAATGTAAGTGTGCACAATAACAAAAAAAAAAAAAAATAGTTTGTGGAAAATGCAATGCAATGCAGAAAAAGAAATAATTTAAACAAAAATAAAAATTATCTTGAAGACTTGCATGCTTCATTTACATTATAATGCAGACTTCGAAGGTGGCGTTCGCGAAAGGCTTACCTATTGAAGAGTAGATACGTAGGAAAATGCATTGCACTTTAAGCAGCAGCCTAAAGGGGTAAGAAGCGCTCGGTTAGCGAGCGGTGAGTTTGAGCGATGCTCAGTAAATCTTTGCTACTGAGTTTCTATTTATTTTGGAGTTTCTTTCTCACGCCACCAAAAGTGGTCAGTCAAGTTTTGCATTGCGATAAAAGGTCAATTCGGTTGGTTGGTTGGTTGGTTAGTCAGTCCGTCTGTTTGACTGTTGGACTGTTGGAAGACGCCAGCGATGAGCCAAATATGAAAAAAGTGTTGCATTTAGGACACTCACCAAAGGAAAACCAGTTCTTGGCGATGTCGCTGGTGATTACTTTTCTAAGTGTCGGAAAGTGATGCAGAATTAATTTTACTCAGCAGACCGACGGTCATATATATGGTTATATGTAAATGAACTGCGAGTCAGAGACAGTCTGCAGCCAACTTTAAAGTGTCCTGTCATGCACGCCTTAAGGGTTACTGTCTTTACATGAGCTTACCTGTGCGCATGAGATTGTAACTTCTGTAAAAGTGTTGTAATTTTCTTGTATGCTCTTCTTTGGTGTTTACACGGGTGTAAGGGTGGTTCTTCAATGGCAACAATGACGCGTCTTGCCGCTGTCCGTGCATCATTTGCATATTCAAATGCAATTGCATGCTGTTTTTGTTGTTTTTATTGCCTTTGTTGGTTATTTTTTATTGTTGTGTTGCGCAACCTTAGATTACGTCCACTCTAACCGCACTGTCTGCTCCACTATCATTCAAATGACATTTGCATACGTCCAGCTGTGCCTTAATCCTGCAACAGGACATTGTCCTGCGTTTAAAATATTCATAACAAATTTTCCAGTTGATTGCCACTTTGACGTTAGTCCATCGAAATCAATAATATTTATATGTATGTATGTACATATGTGTGGCAGCAGTTGTCATACATGCGTTTCAGTTTCTAATACCCACACGTTACCATTCGGCGTGTCATTAGCGCTCGACTTTCTTGCCTTTGTCATCACATAAGCCAACGCACCGAATAGCCTTTGGCCAGAACCGGTTTTGAGAGAATTGACCCTCCACATTTACACATACATACATACCTACTCGTACGTGCAAACGAGTATGTGGCGTTCTGATAAGAGAGTGCAATCGAAACCCTTTTCTCATAAGCATGCAGTTCTTTGCATGTGAGTTATTATATAATAAGGAAAATATGTGCGTGCTTGTGTGTCCTTATGCAGTGTCGAAGCGGAAGGACATTCCATTTGATGGTTTGCTATTTCCTTTTCTTGCGCTCGGACTTAATTTATGCGTTGAGAAATTTTCGTTTGATTGTCTAGTCTTGTCTTGTCTTTAGCTTACCGTGTTTGGTCCGAACCGGTTTGACCGGTCCAGTGTGTGATTGGTGACCAGGTTGCATATATGCATATATGCATACGTGTATATGTATGCGTAGTGTGTTTGGTTTGTTCCTGGTATCGGGTGTTCAGTTGATTTGGCAATTTGCCCATATGCATAAATGTCCATATGAATAATGGTATTATATGTGTGTATATGTGTACCTTTGTTGACATCAAATTGTCATGCATATGACTAAACATAGTGTGAGAACTTTTGCCGTGGCATCTTATAGCTACTCTTTTTTGCACACTCAGCTCTTTAAGGTATGTACATATGTCTAATTGAAATATTCAGACAAATGGACATGATCTTCTTCTTCAGCTCATTAATTGTTGCTACTGCGGATGCTTAGATTGAGTTGAAGAAAAGTGAGAGGCAAAAGACTGAACTATGCTCTCTTCCCATGCGACTGAGACAATGGCTTGGTGATGAGTTTAGGATCTTATTCGTTAAAACGAAATTTTTTTTATCGATATCCACAGTGCTTTAGCCCTTTAACAAAGCATAATCAAAACTTAAAAGTTGTCTCGCTAAAAATCTTCGTTTTGACAAATGATATTTTAACGAATTCGAAGCGAAGTAAGTCGAGAAATTGCCCAATATTAAAATTTTTTTACGCTCCTGCAAATTCTCTGTGTGGGCCAATTCGCTGCCAAAATAAAAAAAAATACCGGAAAGTCTAAACTTTCATTGTTGTGCTCTCTGAACTACATCGCTTTGCTGCAATCAACAAATTTTATGCGAATCAGCCTTAATAGCCTTCGACTCTCGCACAGTTAATTTGCTGCCTTCTAAATTATAGCTAAAGCTTAATAATCTATGAGTGCTCCTTCGGATTCATGAAAGGCAAATAAAGCTGCATTAGATATTCTTGGTGGGAGGACAAAAACTTTTTCACATACACTTGGAAAGTTTGCTTGGTGTTCGAGATCAAGAAAAATATAAGCTTTCCAATCTTCTTAAAGTAATAACAGTCGGACAATGCCGAGTGAGAGTTCTCTTCTTGCAACCTTCTTGTGTTTTTTGGGTCACTTTGAGCCATGCAGATCCCGGCAGGTGTCTGGCCTGAATTCGCTGTACTGGTTTAAGTTTCACCTGAAGAACCTGTAGAAACGATGTAAGTCTCTCGTATAAGAAAGCAGAACAACAGAAGAACATATTTGCATAATGTCATTAGCTTTACTGCTCCCAACGATTCCATTAAGACCCGGCACCCATTTTACAAACTCTTGCATAATCTTCTCTGACTCTACTAATGACAATAAGGTGGTTCTTCGAAATAGGAAAAAAATGGAGGAGGGTTGTTCCATCATATGCAGATCCCAACTGCTTTTTTACTTTTATACGTTTGGATCAAAACTAGACAATAGGGTCATTAATGGAATCTATTGAAATGAACTTTGGATTTTCGAAGAAAGTCTCTAAGGGAGCAAACATTAGAAATTTGATCGAAATAAAGGTTGCTAAAATACATAGATTGCTCTATTTTCCCAATTCTACACAGTGGTTTGACTAGCAATCCTTAAAAATAATTACGAACATCATTATTGAATACAATACAGTAATAGCCGCCTGCTTATCGGAGTAAATCTTATTCAGAAGCAATGCATCTACCTATCTAACTGCAACAACACCAGCCTGAAAAAGAAGAAATGATCTGGGACCCTGAATTCTTTGTAGATGAATATTTAGCTCTTGATTAACAATTCCTCCACAGAAATTTTCGTCATGCGTCAGCAATGCTTAAGTAAGGAATTAGGTGCCTTTTACCCCCAGTAGATCGTTTGCCTCCATTCTTCTTGTCATGTATTGATGTTGGAGAGGAAGCCATTGTGGACATTTGCTGATGAAATATCTGCAAGGCAGTCAAAGTGGAAATTACCGAGAATTCGATGTCGGGCCGCACTTAATGCGAGGCATTGACAGAGGGTACGGCTCTTCCGACTCCTCTTCGTCTATGTCTCTGCACGTTGGGCAAATTGAATTAGAGAAAAAACCCACCCTACTACTATGAGTCCCAATCAAACAGTCTCCGATTATTACGCTCTCCGATAGTTATGCTCTGGAAGTTCTGCTTAGGAAGTGTAGAGCCTTAGTTCATTTTTTCATCGCTAGTCAGATCTGTTTAAATTGGTTGTAGTTTCAATCTGTCATCTACTATTTACCTTATTGGTGAAGGTCGGTCTTAGCAGGTATTTTGCAGAAAAAAGACGTATGCCGGCATCGTGTGCAGACTTTACCGTAGCTCTTCTTGTCAGCTCGTCAGCTTCAGAATTTCCTGGAATGTCTCCGCATATGTCTGGGGACGCACAGTCGATTCGCATACAGTCGAGAGGTGATTTGAGATTCCACTACATTTATAGCCACCTTTGAGGTGGACTGATTACAGACAAGAGATATAACGGCTGTCAGAATATACTGTAATAGATTGAGATAGTACATTAGAGTTGAGTAACTAGTACAACTTGCGAGACGCTGCAGTGTCGGGGAAGTCTCTTGCTTATCAAGCTTAGAGTAGTCAGTAAAAATGGATATGGATCTTTGATCCAAATCGGTGACGTTGTCTGAACAGAAAACAGAAGTGATGTAGTCCACCTCTTCCGCGAACGGTGTAGACTTTAGTAGTCTGGTGGGCCTTGTGCGGGTTCTTCTTGGTTGAAATACTTATAGCTCGCCTGTTATACGGGAGAAAATGAAGCAGAATATCAAGTGCTTTCGTAAGGATTGATGGCAGTAAGGAGGCACCTTGCAGGTGTGGGGCGCTGCTTTCAAACGTATTTCGGTTCCAGTTAAGCTCACTATCTAAGTTTATGCCTATGTATTTGACTTGGGTAAAAAGCTCGATGTCTTTTAGTAAAAGGGGCTTAGAATCAGGTGACTGTTGAAAAGTGCCAATACGGTAATTGTAGGACTTACATCCAGACCACGATCTCGGCACCAATGGCTTTCTATATAAAGGACATTTTTGTCGCTGGAGAAGCTTTACGAAGCTTAACAATTTTTTAAATAATTTTATTTTTATTTTTATTTATATTTATTTCGATTAAAAAAATTCTATATGCACATAAATTAAAATTTCATACATACAACAATACATATTGTCTTTTAATGGTTCTCGAGCAAAGGATGATGATTTAAATATATTTATAACCTATGATGAAAAATGAAAATAAATTTAATTATAAACGCGCCGAATGCAACCTATGGATATGGTCGCGTACCGGAACCACGCCCACAATATTCATAGACTAACGCATAAAGTCAAATAGACTACCACATAAAAATCGACTCTGTCTCAGAACTGTTTTGTCAACAGTCACTCCAACTTATTACCGCTCCATTATGCTCGTCTCAAGGCACTCCAACGAATATCCCCCTCTATTGTTGGTATTGCTGTGGATGATGATATTGCTGGGGTTGATGATATTGTTGTTGCTGTGGCTTTAGCGCATAATCTTGCGATTTGTGAGTTTGACGCACCAAAGGTTGAGGAGCAGGCGTTGGTATCTTAACAACAATATCGGTCGGCTCACGAATCACCTCGGCCTTGAAACCCTCCTTGGGATCAGCTGTATACTTAACGGTACGTATGAAACCATCGGAATCTACCACAGAGTAGCTGCCTTTAATGACAGAGCCATCACGGACTTCTTTACGATTCTGATAGTTGGTGAATTCATCATCTTTAACATCGAAACCGAATTGGTAGGAAGAGTTTTGCTGCAAGAAAAATAAGTGCAAGATATGCAACTCATTAGTGAATGTTGAAAATTTTAGATTTGAAAGTATTTCTAAAACGACTACATTAATCATATGCAATGTGTTCATGTACATAGTATGTCTCGTATGTGTATGACGCTGCCCGCCAGCGTTGGCTTGCGTTTGCGCATGCGCCGCGCTTAATTAATATGTAGACGATAAAGTTTGCATATGCCATGCGTGCTCGAATTGAAAAAAAAAAATAAATAAATAAATAACTATAAAGTGTCCCAGACTGGGTTGTTGAGAAATCGACGCGTACCCACCCAATACTCGATTGCGTCACTAGACGCAAAACGCAAAGCGCACGCGTTGCGCCAGTTGCAAACGCCTTCTATGAGATTATTATTTTGGCGTATGAACTACTTCAGCCTGCAGCATGCATTGACACCGCCACAACGTTAGCCGCAACGGCTGGATGGCTAGCATGCGGCCGCCAACTCTTACCCCCCGCAACGTGCGTTAGCGGCTGAGTGCTTTCCGAAACAACGCACCAGCGTACAAATGTACATACAGGTATGCTATACATATTAATATTGCGTATTATTACCAAAGCTCTACTCTGCTGAGTGGTGTTTGGAATTTTTTTTTTTTACGTTCACCAGTGAAAGTGTTGTAACTAACGGTAACAAAATCGAGATGCAGCGCGCATATTGCCGACAGTTAATATACATACTTTTTTGTTTTTGCTTTTAAGAAATAATATGAGTATTCGTGTGGTACTTATGCAAGTAGATTGAATTTTATTGCCACAGTTGCGGAGTGCAGACAAAACGTGATGAACGCAGCTGCATACCAATCATCTGCGCACGCGCTTTGCTGTCCACTGCTGTCCGTTGCATTATTTATTTCTCACTACTCGTATATAGTGGATTTGTGGTGTTTTACTATTAGATTTAGGTGTAGCCTCAAACGAGTGTACGATTTATGGGGCTGCTTTTGTACCTTTGGTCGGTAGAGTAGAAGAACGTGTTGCCTTGGACTTGTCTGTACGCCCTCAGTTATGGTGCTCTCTGCACGAAATTTGGGCAGTATTTAATATTTCAGAAAACCGAGCAAATCAGCTTATTGTAACGCTTAACTCCCATACAACTTTCTTTTCATAAATTGAATTTTAGTAAGGAAATTAGTCATTTGAGAAGCGAAGATAATGAGAAATGGTATTTCCTATATGTATTTTGTATCAAATTATGACATCCAAAATTTTTGAATTTGTATAACTTTGCATATCCTACGTAGCTCCCACACAAACGATTATTCGGGTATGAGACTTTGAGCCAAAACTCTTACAGGTTATGAGCTAAAACCATGAAAATTGGCATTTTTGCATTGAAATTTTTTGAAATCAGATAATTATAGCATTTGGTTCCCACACTATAATAATGTTCTAGCATTAACTTTTCAACATTAGTACTTTAACGATCTGCCACGGATTGCTGATGGAAGTGGAGCTGAGGTAGAGCAGCCATGCTAACAACCTATGCAGATGAAATTTTGGTCACTGTAAGAGGTAAGTGCTTGGCAACTCTTAGCTCGCTGTCGAAACCGGCATTCAGTACAATGAGTAATTGAACTAAGTCAGCAGAGAGGAAGTGTGAAATTCCATTAGACGAAATCACTGTCCAGAGATACCACCTTACAAGCGAACGTAAGTAATAAGCAGTTGGGTCTAGTATTGTATGGCAAGCTATCGTAGAAGCTCAAGGTGCAGGTGCATATAAAAAAAGGTGTCACCAACTGAGAACCTTTCGCCAACCGTTTCGCATTGAATCTTCGTTGCGCTTATTAAGCCAATAATTTCCTGTGCAGCTCTAGAGGATATCAAGAAACGCTGGAAAGAGCCTTTAGACTCTCAATACTCAACATAGCCGAAACTCCTAAATGAACACCATCTGGTTTTGTCTTGGTCTTGCGCTTAAGAGTACGAATGGACTGCATTGCGCCGCACCTGATTTTAGGAAAGTTTCTAGCAGCTAAAACAGAGGTGGGAGATATATTGCAAATGACTCAAGTATGTCTCTAAAATGTAGTAGATGCTGCAGATTACTGAGTCCAACCGGCGATAGTAAGGTCATTCTGATTGCGAAATTTTTGGATTGCGGTTGCCCCTCGTCTGGGAATGTCATTCTGACATAAATTAAAGGCTCCTCATAAAAAACCATCAGCCGGTCTTAGGTGGTTCAGTATACACGTAAATTGCAGATTCTTCCATTTGTTGGAAAAGCATAAACACTCAAAAACCACAAATATTCACGCTCGACATGACAAAGTCGTCCTCCAACACGACAATGCTCGGCCTCACGTCGCAAAAATGATCAAAAAGTACCTGGAAACGCTGAAATGGGAAGTCTTGCCCCACCCACCGGATTCCCCAGATGTCACCCCTTCTGACTTCCACCTATTCCGTTCGATGGCACACGGCCTGGCAGATCAACATTTTCAATTCTTCGAAGGATTGGAAAAATGGATTGCTTCATGGATAGCGTCAAAAGAGGACTTCTTTTTTCGAGCCGGGATCCGAAAATTGCCCGAAAGATGGGAGAAAGTTGTCGCTAACGAAGGACAATACTTTGAAGAATATATCTGTAAGCACTTTTTTGCAATAAAGCTTTTAATTTTGGAAAAAAAACGGCGGAAGCAAAGTAGTACACCTATCTAAATTCTGGATATGTTCTAAGCCAGAATAAGCGGTTCATGAAAAAAATTACGGGCTTTATCGGTTTTAAGCAAAGCGGGGTTACGCTCAAAGTTTTCGATATTTGAATATTTAAACATTTTAGATTTCCGGTTGTATGGTCACAAAAAGCTTTAGTTCCGATATCAATTATTTTATTTAAGGATGTTTATTTATAGATACGTTGGGTAATGCAACGCACTTCATACCCTTAGATGTTTTTTTTTTTTTTTTTTTTGTGTAAAATTTGTGACATAAAATTTCAAATCTGGAAAATCAGTCATACATATACCATAGTAATCCGATCTGACTGATCTCGTCAAATGATCGTTTAAATAAATATCTCAAAAATTGAGGGACTGGTTGCGTACAAACAGACGTACAGACGGACATGGCCAATTGAACTCAAATCGTCAATATGAACCGGATCGGCATAAGTTTTTTAATAGTTGCATACCTCGGACCAAAGTTAATTTAACATTTTATGTACATGAAAGCTATAAATTGGTACAAAGCCAATAACAACATTTTTCTCTTTTTTTTCGCTCAAACTGAATACTTTGATTCTTCTCACTGTGGCATTGAGCAGAAGATGCTAATCACTTATAATACTCCTATAAACTATGTATTTATATGCCATCAATCGCTGATTATGTGCAACATGTTCAACAAAAAAAAAAAAAAAAAAAAAAAAAAAATAATAAAATGAAAAAAAAAAAAAATAAAAATAAAAAGGAAAATAAAAAAAAAAAAAAAAAAAAAAAGAATAAGAAAAAACTCATATAAATTACCACCGTCCATGTGGCAAGCATGCAAAGATGCCACAACAGCGTGCACACCCACAATCTGTGATTAACAGAGAACACACATTAAATACAATGGCATTGTCAGGCTTTAGAACGCCCCATAGTCAATTACAACGAAGCTATAAATAAGCCAAACAAAGGTCATATTGCCGCAGTGGAAGGAACGCAATGAAACGCCAACGCCAACGCCATCGCCATTTAAATATTCATACAAACGTATGTATGTATGTATATGGTATGTAGGTATGTACATTTATATAAATTTCCATTAACCATTCAACTACGAAACCGATCTGCCCCATTGCATTAACCGATAGCGGTGATATTTTATTTTACTGAAACAAAAGTGGGTTAAGGTAGTTGTTATGCCTCATCGTAGTAGCTGAACAAACTTCGGCTCTCACTGCATTGCTGCATAACAATTGTCTGTCTGTCTGTCTGTCTGTCGGCTGTTGACAACAATTCGGTTAATTTTGATACTTTTCATGATTTTTTCCATTTGTTTTTTTCTTTTACTTTTATTTTATTGTTTCTATTTTAAATCTTTTTTATTGTTTTATTTTTTTCTTTTATCACTTTTGCTTTAATTTTTTCCTAACCGTGTTGGATTTGGTTGGAGAATGGCTTTTATGGTGGCTACTAAAATATTTTTAAGCGCAAAAGAACAGAAAATTAGTGCTTAAATCGACCAATATGTATGTATGTATGTACATATGTATACGGGTGTTTGTGTGTGTAACAGCAGGAATTTGAAGGAACGGAACTTCGAATAGCGGATTTAGAATGTACACGTACAAGTAAAATATTCTGCGCTACTTTTGCAAAATAATGTTGTCAAGCAAGTTTCAACCCAAAAAAGAAACGAAAAAAATAATAAAAAAAAAACAAAATAATTGAATATAAAGCACGGACAGACAGGCGAAAAAATCAACGAATTATTTACTGTCATACTTACATATACATATATGTATGGAATAACACTTACTCGTAGATATCCAACCCCATTTGGGCGAGTAGCTTTTGACGAGTAAAAGGAGGCTAATTGTGATTTAACTCTTGTAGGCGATGTCTTGCCGCGATATCAATTCATAATAACTTCTTTTTTTTTTTTGACAGACATTAAAATTGTCTGCTGATTTGTTAAGATAGTGAGGGCAATGAATATATACATACAAACATATTTAATGCTTATAATGTTTTAATTATTGTGCAAAGAGTTTAAAGAGACCATACTCGGATTTTAGAGTATTTCGATTATGGAAAGTGACTGCAAAAAATTAATTGCATATTTACTGACTTGAGTGTATTTAAACAATTCCTATGCACTGTTTGGTGTTTGATAAACAAAGAATTTTAATGATTTTTTACCAAAGCTGACATCCATGAACGAGGTGATTAGAGTATAAATAAATGGTTTTTACTCGTCTAAATAGCTTTAGAATTTAATTTACCAGAGCTTTCAGCCTGGTTTGAATATGTCA